GTGTATGATCTTAAAAGGCGAATCTCCCGTATGCGACAAGGGGGAGGCTCGATTGAAACTTACTACAATGATCTCCAAGGCTTATGGTGAGAGATCGATTTTCATCGTCCAAATGAGATGAAGTGCGAGCTGGATATCAAGAAATACTATGATATCATCCAAGAAGATCGAGTTTATATTTTCTTGGATGGTTTAGATGATCGACTTGACAAAGCCCGAAGTGACGTGCTCCAAATGAGTCCATTTCCTACAGTAGAGCAAGCTTATGCTCATGTTCGACAGGAAGATATTCGACAAGCTATGATGTTAGGAGCTCCAACACCAACCGGAGTAGGATTGGCAACAAAAGGAACATACCGACCCTCTCGCCCAACACCAACCCCAGTTACTGCTTCTCTCCAGCTACAGACCACTACCAACAAGACTACTCCACCACCTTTTCGACCCAAGGTTCCCACAGATGGGAATGGTTGCACTCACTGCGGGAATCCAAAGTACACTCGAGAAACCTGTTTTAAATTACATGGCTATCCAGATTGGTGGGAGGGTCTCAAGGCTCGTAAACTTGCTTCTGGAGGAACGGGTCGTGCTGCCCTTGTCACCATGGATCCTCCGATAACATTAATTCCTCATGAAGAATCTACCTCAGCACCAGAAAAGAACTCTTCATCTTTCAGTGACTCAGGTAACTATGGATATGTATTTCATACATCATATACAAGTGACTCCACATGTTTGATTATTAATTCAGGAGCCACATATCATATGACATTTGATCCAACCGATTTTCTAAGTACAACTACACCACAACGAACAAGTATTGCCAATGAAAATGGTGTTACCTCTCCCGTGGTCGGTGCTGGAACCATTGGCCTCTCTCCATCCCTTACTCTTCAAAATACTTTGCTTGTCCCATCGTTGTCTAATAAATTGATGTCTGTTGGCCAAGCTACTGAGCAACTAAATTGTTGTGTACTCATGTATCCCGACTTCTGTTTATTTCAGGTTATTCTCACCAAGGAGATCATTGGTCGTGGTACTAAGAGAGGGGGGTTGTACTATGTGGATGATTTCAGTATGGGAAAGGCACATAGTGTGAAGCACTCATCGACTTGGAAGGATCAACAACTTTGGCTATGGCACTGACATTTGGGGCATCCATCTTTTGGCTATATGAGACATCTATTTCCAGATTTGTTTTCGAATTCCTGTACCACTGATTTCCAATGTGATACTTGTATCTTGGCCAAGAGCCACAGAGTCTCTTATCCATTAAGTACAAATAAAAGTGTTGCTCCATTTGCTTTGATACATTCTGATGTTTGTGGTCCTTCACCTATCTCTACAACTTCTGGCTTCTGGTGGTTTATTACCTTTGTAGATGATTGTACCCGCATGACTTGGCTCTTCATGATGAAAAATAAAACTGATGTGTTCCCTATATTTCAGTCATTTCACAAGCAAATTGAATCTCAATTCTCTACCAAGATTCAAGTCCTTCGTTCTGACAATGGGGGTGAATATATCAACCATGATTTTTAGACTTACTTCCAAATGTATGGCATCATCCATGAGACCACTTGTCCTCAAACTCCTCAACAGAATGGTGTTGCGGAACGAAAAAACCGACATCTCCTTGAAACAGCACGAGCTCTTTTGATTGGAGCTCATGTTCCTCGCCACCATTGGGATGATGCTATAGTCACCGCAGTCTACCTCATCAACTGAATGCCTTCCAAAGTTTTAGACTTCCGGACTCCATTACAAGCACTTGCCCAGCATGGGCCCTTGCCCTCCGTTCAGATGCTTCCGCCCCGAGTCTTTGGTTGTGTGGCATTCGTCCACCTCCATAAGAATCAACGTGGCAAACTTGATCCATGTGCTCTCAGATGTGTCTTTGTAGGCTATGCTGCCCATCAGAAAGGATACCGGTGCTATCACCCCTCCAGTCGTCATACATATGTCACTTTGGATGTCACTTTTATGGAGTCTGAAATGTTCTTTCATGATCTGATGTCCAACTCTCTGCCTCAAAGAGACATACAAATAGAACCAATGGGCAAGGAGGCTCTGGAAATTCAAGAACTTGAAGATTGGAGCAAAACGAATCCCAAAAGTCCAGAAGAAAATGTAACTTGCCCACCCGCGACCAGTCGCATAGAAGTACTGAAGGTGAAATTCGACTTTCCAAATCCGACCGGTCGCCAGGAGCCCAGCGACCGGTCGCTCCACAGCAGAGAGCACAATATTTTTTCCTACTTCGCCGACGATAATGATGAAGACCCCCCTCACATCTCAGTACCAGCTGATCAATCTCCTGAGAATACTCCTGAGGTACGTGATTCTACTACATCTACTGTTTTAGTTGATGAAACTGTTAAATATCAATTACCCGATAGACAGAACCGTGGAAAACCGCCAATTCGGTATTCACCAGATAATGGCAAGGCATCGAAGTATCCAATTGCAAACTATGTTTCTGCGGAAAAATTATATGCACCCCTCCAAGGCTTTGTACACCAGTTATCCGCAATTCATATTCCAACCAAAGTGAGTGAGGCATTGAAGGATCCAAAATGGGTTCACGCAATGAAGGAGGAGATGCATGCTCTGGAGAAAAATCACACATGGACATTGGAGAATTTACCTCAAGGAAAATGGACTGTCGGATGCAGATGGATTTACACCTTGAAATACAATGCTGATGGGTCAATTGAACGTTACAAAGCACAACTTGGGGCAAAGGGATACACGCAAACATATGGTATTGACTATGAAGAAACCTTTGCCCCTGTTGCAAAACTTAACACCGTTCGAGTGCTATTGTCCATTGCAGCAAATCTTGATTGGCCTCTCCACCAATATGATGTGAAGAATGCCTTTCTCCCTGGAGAACTCACAGAAGAAGTCTACATGGATATCCCACCAGGATATGTCACATCTACTCATGCTAATGTGGTGTGCAGATTATGAAAGGCATTATATGGATTGAAACAATCTCCCCGGGCATGGTTTGGGCCTTTTACCTTGGCAATGAAGAATTATGGTTTTAAGCAAAGTAATTCTGACCATACTCTGTTCTTAAAACACAAGGGAGGAAAGGTAACGGCTCTCATCATTTATGTCAATGATATGATTATTACTGGGAATGATAAGCAGGAAATTTCTCAACTACAACAATGTTTGGCAAAGGAGTTTGAAATGAAAAATCTTGGTGGACTCAAGTACTTCTTGGGCATTGAAGTTGCTCGATCAGAGCAAGGCATATTTCTCTCACAAAGGAAGTATGTTCTAGATTTATTGACAGAAACTGGAATGTTAGATTGCAAACCGGTGGACACTCCAATCGTTCAGAATCACCGCCTTGGGGAATATCCCAATCAAGTACCCACTAACAAAGAAAGATATCAAAGATAGGTGGGACGACTGATCTACCTATCCCATACCCGACCCGACATCGCGTATGCTGTAAGTGTTGCTAGTCAGTTTATGCATTGTCTAAGTGAAGATCATATGGATGCGGTTCTTTGGATTCTTAAATATTTGAAGTCCGCACCAGGAAAAGGACTTATGTTCTCAAAAAATGGTCATCTGAATATTAGTGGCTATACAGATGCAGATTGGGCAGGGAATGTCACTGATAGACGATCAACATCAGGGTACTTCACATTTGTGGGAGGTAACTGGGTTACTTGGAGAAGTAAGAATGTTGTTGCTTTGTCTAGTGCAAAAGCCGAATTCAGAGGAATGACCAAAGGAATTTGCGAACTCCTTTGGTTGAAGAAATTGCTTACAGAGATTGGATATGCACCTACATTAGGAATGCATCTACAGTGTGATAACAAGGCTTCCATACCCATTGCACACAATCCAGTCCAACATGATCGCACTAAACATGTTGAAGTGGATCGACACTTCATTAAAGAAAAACTTGAAAATAAAGAAATTCAGCTTCCGTTTGTCAAGTCCGAAGACCAGCTAGCAGATATTTTGACAAAAGCAGTTTCTAGCAGAGTATTCCACAACTCACTGATCAAGTTGGGCATTGGTGATATCTATGCACCAACTTGAGGGGGAGTGTTAGAAGTATTGGCATCTTGTGCAATTGTCATCTTGTGAAACACAAGACAATCCTTGTCTCATGGTACACTTGTCTCATTCCTTGTTTTAGGGAATACTTTTCTTGAAGTATGTAATCCTTGTCTTAGGGAATGTTTCATGGAATGTTTTAGGGAACTTTTGTATTAGTATAGGATAATTACATGTATAAATGTTTTGATGTGAAATAGAATGAACACAAGTTGAAATCAGAAAAATATGTGTAGCTCCCAAATTCTCTGCACTCTCCATTCTCTTTACTCAACCTTCAACATTTCCTCCTAAATTTGACAAATAATAGGCCTTACCCAACCAAGCATCCATATTATTATCATCAGTTTCCTCATACAGGGAAAAAATTTAAATTTAAATTTTGGTAATTTTCTTAAAAATGTATTTCAAACCTTGGGAAAATCCCTTAAACAAAGGAAGCTGCATGAGGCCACACACGGGGACAGGAAGAAATGAAACAACAAAAATGAGGGACGTTGTCCATTTCTTTTGGGGATGAATCAAGAGCAAAATAGTAGCAGTGAAGGTGAGCATGGTGGTTATTAGTGAGCAGAACAGAAGGGTGAACCCCAAACGCAGCCTGAATGGAAGAGAACGATAAAAGTCTTGGTACTCAAGCGGCGATGTCAGGATAGAGAGAAACGTGACCAAAGAAGCCAATGAACTGATGAGCGAGACGGTGTCAGCAACGGCAAATGTGAAGAAGAAAGAAGAATCCCGGAGAACAGGAACCCCGTTTGAATCATTACCCCCAGGAGCCGTGTAGGCGGCTGCATAGACAACGGTGGCCACCAAAGCCGCCACAGTCGAACATGACTAAGCAGTCTCTTTTATCTGCTTCATGATGTAACGAGGTGAAATAATCTTTTTCACACGCTAGCCACACATGGAAAAATTGATGAGGCGAGGATTAATCATTTCAAGCACCATCATGAACATTGCTCAAGTAACAAATAAATTTATAAGCAGGTTTATACTTAAAATAACTAGTTAATTAGTGGTATTTCTCTTTGTAAGGTTGGAAGATGTTTATCTTTTTTTATCAAAATAATTAATAACTAATAACTTCATACATATTTTGATTATCGTTAACTTAACAAAAGTGCTTTACTAGCCAACGAAAGGAAACAGAAAATAACCCCCTATCCTGTAGTTTAGACTATCACGTATATTATAAATAAATAAAAATTATTAAACTACCTACCCTATTGGGGATAGTTTGTATTTTAAATGCATCTATGTCAGTTTGGTGTAGTGGCACCGAGTTTCTGTGCCTTATTGGAGGAGGTATTGAGTTCAAAACTCATAGACGACAACATTGAATAAAGAAAATGCATGCATCATTCCTAGCTAGTATATGAACTTCAATTAATTACATAACTCATGACACTCACCGCCATCCAACGCAATTCGTCCTGCAATTGTAACGCTGGACCACCTAGGCGCTGAGTGTCTGCTGAGTAATATACCATAGTTGCAGCTTGATGCAATATGGTGTTGCCATTGTTGTCAATCTTCATAGCCATCCTTGATGTTATTGATTTGCTCTTTTTTATAAGCTTAAAGATCTCCATCCAGCGATGCATAATGGCCACGTGCAAAATGTTTTGTTGCTCATCAATATCGTGAGCCTCAACCGATTGAGGGTGTAACTCCAACATCTTTTTCACAATTTCTGATATTCCGTTTCTAGCCGCTATGAGCAATGGGGTATGGTTCCTATCATCATCACGGCGAACATCATCTTCCCTTGATGCCATCCATGAATAGTCCTTTTCGACCAGCAAATGAGTGAGTTCCAAGAGTGATTTTTCATTTTGCATTTTCTCGAACATCATACGGCTTCCTAGGCTTTCGAATCCTGGTTATAATCATATCATGCATATTCAGTAGAGATATATTGATGAAGGGAACATAGTGTTACTTAGATCCACTCAGCATTGTATTTCAATAATCTAAATTGTCTATTCAGATAGTTGAACTAAAATTTGTAATAGACCTCACAAGATGTCACTCAAACAAGATTATTTGAGGGATTGCTCAATAGAACAAGACGGAATAGAACTATATATACACTAATAAATATATCGCACACAAATATATATGGCCCATTTTGAAAGTTAGATGAATTACTCGTAATCGTCTTTGAACAACTAGATTGGCAAGGGTGATTGATCCTGCCCTCCAAGTCATTTGGTGGGATCCGATCAATATTATCATCATTAAAAGGCCTGAATGTATATAAATAAGGGGAGCATAAAGATTAGCATTAGCATTATCAGAAAAGCATGCATAAATAAAGGGATCACTATTCGTGCTTCATACAGTTATATATGTAGTATAATAAGAGAAATGCACTCCCTGCTCCTCTTGCACTTCACTATGGGAGTGTAAATAGAGATAGAGTAGATGGTACATTTATAAATGAGCATCTTCCATATGCTTTTGCGAAATTTGGCTTGGAAGACAGATGGCATTTGGGCTAGCAATTGAAGACTTGTCAGTCCATTGCTTTCCTTTTTGTCCGCAAGATCTGGGTACTCTTTTAGCAACCAAAGAGCAGTCTCTGCATTGAAGGTAAACCATGTTAGTAATAATAACAAATCACCGTCTATTTTTTTTCAACAATACAAATCATTTATTTTTTAGGTTTACATGAGTCATAGATCATTTTTGCAAAATAAGTAGAAAGTAACGCAATTAATTGTCAAAATTTGCAGAGAGAGACCAAAATTTTGGCCAATGACTGCGCTATGAAGAATGGATGTTTGATCACTACTTCTTTGCAAGTGCGGCATTATATTTATGTGGCCCACTTTTTTGACCAAATATTGGACCAACTTTGTGTGGCCGAAAGAAGCGGCCCTGTAGACTGGGGTCTCTCCTAACTGGTTTCGAATATCTAGCACACCTTCATTGCTAACATCATCTTTCATAACATCAGCAAGCTCATCCCTAACGTTGTTATCCAGATCCACCAAGAGCACTGCGGCTTCCAAATTTCCAGACGGCGCCACCTCATGTAGAGTGGTGTTGCCATGGCTATTCTTCATTGTCAACGCACGGCGTAACATCTGAGGTTCTCTTATCAGCGCAATCAAAAACTGCAGCACGTCCATGCGTCCAGCGAAGGCTACAAGGTGAAGTGCATTGTCATTGTACGTTGTCAATGGATCAAGTACTTTGGTTGGATTATCCTTGTAATATCGTCTTAGGCGTTCCCAGTCCTCGTACATGGCCCATCGATATGGCCCTTTCATTTGATCCAGTGCCCTTCTCTCTCTTTCAACCTCATGACTCTCTTCCATGGGGTCCTTCGGGGAAAAACTGGTTCAACTTAAAGTCGCCTTGCCTTCGGAAATTGCATCATAAGCATAACATAGAGAGAGAGAGTGGTGACTTGTTGAAAAACTGGTTTCGATAAGCCAACCTTTAGGAAGCATAAGTGAGCTTGAAAGAGCCAGAAATTCAGAAAAGAACACAGAAGAATCTCAGAGAAATTGAAAAGTTCAGAAATTTAGTAAAGGCTTCTTGCTCAAATTGCATATAGGAGTGAGATTGGGACCACTTGACTTGACTTGGCTTGGAATTGAAAGCGCGTAACACTAGGCTAAACCTTATTCTCCTCCACACTTCTTAATGAAAATCTAAGAAAAAAAAAATCCCTAAACAATTGAAATTGCATGAAGCAAGTCCCTGAAAGACATGTGCCTGAAGCACAAAATTTGTATTTATAGAGTTGATAAGAACTTATGCGTGTGTTTTGAAATCATCAATAATTGAATATAGGAGGAATAGTTTCAGAGTTATTATTATTTTTGTTGTATTTTATTTATTTTTGAGATAGTGGTGCGCACGTCTCTTATGTATGTCTTGGAAAACGTTAACTAAGAATAGAAGCAGTTGATAAGCCAGCCACCTACCATTGACCAATTATATACAACGAATTACGAAATGTACACCAACCTTAAAAAAGTCTGAAAGCAACCCGCACAAGAAAACTTCTATTACCAACTACGCGCTTTCTCATTCTCATATAAATTAATTTCAACCTTAAAAAAGTAAAGACTTTCGTTCTTTTGGCTGTCTTTATTTATTCCCCATCTTCCTTAGAAAACACAACTAATAGGTCTCGTTTTTTGGTTTTTTCAATCTCTCTCTCTCTCTCTCTCTCTGGTGCTGATTTCCAGAAAGCAAAACCAAATGTGTCCTCTGAGGTTCATCTTGGTGTTCTTTTAAGCGATTCTTGCAGGATATTATGCATGGAGGACGGTTCATTCTTCTCCCGGAACTGACATCAACTCACAGGATTCGACCAATGAAAATATACCAACCAAAAACAAAGAGTTCAATTTGAGAATGGTATGCGTATTCCCTTGTTTTGACTAAGCCTTTGAGATTGGGACCACTTGACTTGACTTGGCTTGGAATTGAGAGCACACCTAAACACTAGGCTAAGCCTTAATCTCCTCCACACTTCTTAATGAAAATCTAAGAAAAAACCCTTGAGATGTCTGAAAGGATAATGCCCCTTTTTGTTTTGCACGTTCTCCGTTTCTTCCTTTTTCTTACTTTTAATATTTACTCTTCATTTTTCGGGCTATTATATTTTCTGAAAATGTAAGTCAACCATAAATTCAAATTTTGTGATTATTAGTAGAACAAGTTGGATCCTGAAACCCACTTATAGTTTTTAATAAGAAAAGTTTGACTAGGATTTTAGACTAGTTGACTGTAATTCTTATTGGTGAGCAGTATTCGCACGGCACCACACATGCAAGGCACTCTATTGTTTACATGCATTTCTATAAGATCCCCCTCCTTGTACCATAAAAATTCAGGTAAAAAAAAAAAAAAAGAGTTGATCAAATGGCAGCTTCAAGTGCTGATCAGAAAGATAAATATCGTTCGTATTTATATGGAGAGGGAGAAAATGTCACATGTTAGGCACGTGACTCACTGTTCAATTAAAAATTATTTTTTTTTAAAGTTTAAAATAATTAAATTGTTAAAACTACAAAACTGAAAAGGAAAAAAAAAGAGGAAAAGGAAGGAGCAGAGCTTGACCGACATTGGGGCTTTTAGGGCTACGAATCTGACGATTACGAATGGATGGGGCTAGAGGGAGCTTGGCGGAGAGGACTTTTCCCAGGATTTGTATATGGGAATCTGATGGGGAAGCTAGGGATATTACTTGTGATATTATCGATAATGTGGAGGCTTAGATGTTCTACTGAAACGGCACAGGTTTCTGGCGAGCCCAAGAAGCCTGGCCATACCATATCAAAAGGGCATAAGAACTGCGATTTGATGCTCAATCTTCAACTGGGTATTAGGTACTTTTTCTAATTTTTCGATTTTACAAGTCGTGGAGTGATTTTTTGCTTATGGGTTTTCTTTATCAATGGAGGCTGGTGTTTGATGTTGTGGTGTTTTTGGTTTTTAGATACTGTATTGGGAAGCATGATTTGATAGTGAGGGATCTTAAGCCTAGTAATTTCAATCCCAAAGAGAAGTTATGGACCAAGTTTCCACCGGAAGGATAGAACAAAATGCCGCCCCATTAGAGGTTAATGCAATTAAAATAAGCTCCGCTAAACAAGCCACGACTGTTTGCTTCTTCTTCTTTGATTGTGAGTGTTGTTAGTAAACGAATCTGTCACTTCTCACAGCTTCCACAAAGGCTTCATGAAGTTCTTGTGTCCAACTCATTCTGGGTTTGGTTGGAGGTGCAGTGGACAATGGTTCGGGGCTGGGACGAAATTCTTCAGATTGAACAGGCTGATGTTGAATCTGGGGCGGGTGCACAAGGATATCAAAATATGGGTTGCACTTGAATCGGATTCTTGAAAGAAAGTGAGAGGGAGAGAAGAATAAGAAGGAAAAATGAGAGAGAGAGAGAGAGAGAGAGAGAGAGAGAGAGAGAGAGGAAGAAGAAGGAAAATGAAAAAGAATAAAAAAAGATAGAGAAAAAAAATCATGATTTTACATCTTCTTTATTATTTTTTGGTATTGTCCTTGTAAAATGACAAACTTACCCTTATAATTAACAGAAAATTGGATGGAAGTCTAAGGGCGGTGTATTTAATTATAACTTTTAAAGACTTTTAATGAGTTTAAAAGTCTAGAGGTATTCAACTATGACTTTTAAATAGTCTTTAAAAGTTTAGTTGTATTCAATTGTGACTTTAAAAAGTGTTTAAAAGTTTTGGGGTATCCAAAGGTTAATGACTTCTGAAAACTTTGTTAGATGAATGACTTTTCAATACTTTTAAGGCTAATTCTTACAATAACGCTACGGGCACCAACTTATTTACCAACTTTTGGATACCAACACATGTGGCACATGATATGGCAACACATGTCATCTGTCATCTCATCTATTTTAAGTCACATAATTTGTTATATAAATAAAAGAATTTCACACAGCAAAAATAAAAACATAAATAAAATAAATTAAAAAAACAAACCCAGCCATTTAATATTTATCGTCCTTTCGTCTTCCTCCTTTGCAAACCCCCCCTCCTCTTCTGTGAAAAACCCTAGAATTTCAACAGTTGGCCGCCACCAGTTGAAACTTCTCAAATTCAAAGCACCGAGCCTTTGTGGTTCAGCGTTAAACCTCCTTCTTCCTCTCTGAAAAACCGTAGAAATTTAGCAGTCCTTCCATTGAAGAATAATGCCCCTTTTTGTTTTGCACGTTCTCCGTTTCTTCCTTTTTCTTTCTTTTAATATTTACTCTTCATTTTTCGGGCTATTATATTTTCTGAAAATGTAAGTCAACCATAAATTCAAATTTTGTGATTATTAGTAGAACAAGTTGGATCCTGAAACCCACTTATAGTTTTTAATAAGAAAAGTTTGACTAGGATTTTAGACTAGTTGACTGTAATTCTTATTGGTGAGCAGTATTCGCACGGCACCACACATGCAAGGCACTCTATTGTTTACATGCATTTCTATAAGATCCCCCTCCTTGTACCATAAAAATTCAGGTTTAAAAAAAAAAGAGTTGATCAAATGGCAGCTTCAAGTGCTGATCAGAAAGATAAATATCGTTCGTATTTATATGGAGAGGGAGAAAAGAACACCAAATGGAGGTTTGGTGCCCCTCCCAACTATGATGTTGTTAACAAGCTCTTCGAAGAAGGCAGAACCAATCTCTCTCTCTCTCTCTCTCTCTCTCTCTCTCTCTCTTTAATTGTGTGTTCGTTTTTAGTAAGAATTTTGTGTTTAATTCTATGATCATTAATATCTTCCTGTAGCATTTTATTATATTTTCTAATTAAAGTATCATATACTTTGTAATTAATTGAAGATATGGCCACCTGGGTCACTCGAAGAAATGGTACAGAACCTTTTGAAGACATATGAAATGGAGCTTTTCCACAAGGCATGCGTCGACGACTTCAAATCAATAGATCCAAAAAAGTTCACTCTCAGCCTAAATGGTACGCATATATGTATACTCTTTCATTATTACCACAAGCTAAGAAAATTTTGCCGGAGAAAATCATGAGTTCAAATCTCGCAAAAAGCGGTACTTAAATAAGATAATATAATTAAAGAAAATCTAGCTTTCGAAATTTGTATTAGTACTAATTAATTCACATTTTGAATCACACATAAAATTTACAGGGAGAAAAGGATTAGGTTTGGAAGATATAAAGAAACTGGGTGGAGGCTATAACCCATTGCTGCAGTCGTCTCTACCAGAGGAATTCCAGATCTACAAACCATCTGAGGAAACAGAAGATTCATCTCATCGAGCTTTCACCACTACTTTCCCTCGTGGCTTTGCTGTGGAGATCCTCCAAGTCTACTCTGGGCCACCACAAATAGTTTACAAGTTCAGGCATTGGGCTTACATGGAGGGCCCTTTCAAAGGCCATGCCCCTACCGGAGAACTGGTAGAATTTTATGGCATGGCAATTTTTGGGGTAAGTACCTGGCCAAGACAACCATTTATCATATTCGCGAGTGCTAGTATCAGTCTCACACGGGCATTCCACATGTGCGTGGATGACTGATGCGTGCATCGTGTGTATAGATCATTACTTACGTGTTTTGGTACCTCGTGTTGCGCTGATATTAACATTAGTCACTTATATAATATATAAATATATATGTCCTGCATTATTCACAAATATCTAGCTATAGATTATAATTGATGATTGTGTAAATTGTCTCTCTACTTATCTCTTAATAATTTATTTGGTCTAAACAGGTGGATGAGCATATGAAAATTGTAAGTGTGGAGTTCTTTTATGATCCTGGAGAACTTCTTGGAGCCCTGGTGAAGGGTGCTAAAATTGAAAATTATGCTGGAGAGATGACAACAGGTTGCCCTATCCTGAGGAGCACAGGGTAGCTAGCTACCTGCATCTGGAGCTCTCATGAGAGAAGCAAACATGAAGCACATGGTTTAAGATCGCTAGCTAGCTAGTACTGGAAAACCTCGTAGCATATGCAATTTGAATAAAATAAAAATATGGCAGCTGCATTGCCATATGGTATGGTCGGTGCAAGTATGTTAATATCAATAAAATTTTTCTACTTCTGGTATGGTATCAACAAATATCCATTTATATTATAACACGTTAATAAGTTATATACCACGTCAATGACCATATTCCAGTACATTATAATTACTTGTCCAA